TAGGAAGGAGTTCAATAAGCTAAATAGTAACAGGTGACGTATCACTGAAAGAACTCAAATCCTGTTTGATCTGAATGTATAATATAGTCTTTATTACAGTTGGCCTTCTTATCAGTGGGAAGTTGGCCAAGATTTCCACTATTAATTAAGAAAATTATATCTAACTGCCAAATTTCTACTGATATCAATCAGTGAAACAGTTTTTCTTGTTTTCAGATCAAAAGTCATGACTTTGCCATCAGATCTTCACAACTGTAGGGATTTACTCAAGAGGAACTATTGAGATGACTAGAGCCTAAGAGGGTTCAAAAGAGCATTTATTTTTATTTATTTATTTTATATTACTTGTATTATGGTAGTGCCTAGAGGTTCCAGCCAAGATCAGGACTCTATGATGCTGGGCATTGTACAGTTGCATAGTTAGAGAAAGCCCTTACTCCACAGAGTTTAAAATATAAATAGATAGGATAGACAAAGAGAAGGGGAAGCAGATGCATGGAAGTTTGCCCAAGATCAAAGAAAATGAGGGCAAGAGATGGCAATTTAAACTAGGTCTGTCAAGCGATAAAAAAAAATTATCATGATTAATAGCGCGATTTATCGCACTGTTAAAAAATAATAGAATATCATTTATTTAAATATTTTTGGATGTTTTCTACACTTTAAAATATATTGATTTCAATTACAACACAGAATATGAAGTATACAGTGCTCACTTTATATTTATTTCTAATTAAAAATATTTGCAATGTAAAAAAACAAAATAAATAGTATTTTTCAGTTCACCTAATACAATTACTGTAATGCAATCTCTTCCTCATGAAAGTTGAACTTACAAATGTACAACTTGTAAAAAAAACCTGCATCCAAAAATAAAACAATGTAAAATGTTGAGCCAACAAGTCCACTCAGTCCTAATTCTTGTTGAGCCAAGCGCTCAGACAAACAAGTTTGTTTACATTTGCAGGAGATAACATTGCCTGCTTCTTGTTCACAATGTCACATGAAAGTGAGAACAGGCATTCACATGGCACTGTTGTAGCGGCATTGAAAGATATTTGCATGCCAGATGTGCTAAAGAGTCGTATGTCCATTCATGCGTCAACCACCATTGCAGAGGATGTGCATTCATGCTGATGATGGGGTCTGCTCGATAATGATCCAGAACAGAGTGGACCAACGCATGTTTCATCATCTGAGTCAGATGCCACAAGCAGAAGGTTGATTTTCTTTTTTTGTGATTCGGGTTCTGTAGTTTCCACATCGGAGTGTTGCTCTTTTAACACTTCTGAAAGCATGATCCAGAGCTCGTCCCTCTCAGATTTTGGAAGGCACTTCAGATTCTTAACCCTTGGGTCGAGTGCTGTAGCTATCTTTAGAAATCTCACATTGGTACCTTCTTTGCATTTTGTCAAATCTTCAGTGAAAGTGTTCTTAAAACAAACAACATGTGCTGAGCAAGCAACAGAGGGTCCTGTGGCACCTTTAAGACTAACAGACTAACAGCATATGCTTATGCTCCCAATACTTCTGTTAGTCTTAAAGGTGCCACAGGACCCTCTGTTGCTTTTTACAGATTCAGACTAACACGGCTACCCCTCTGATACTTAACATGTGCTGAGTCTACTATAACATGAAATATATAGCAGAATGTGGGTAAAACAGAGCCAGAGACATACAGTTCTCCCCCAAGGAGTTCAGTCACAAATTTTATTAATGCATTATTTTTTTAACAAGTGTCATCAACATGGAAGCATGTCCTCTAGAATGGTGGCCAGAGCATGAAGGGGCATACAAATGTTTAGCATATCTGGCACGTAAATACTTTGCAATTCTGGCTACAACAGTCCCATGCAAACACCTGTTCTCACTTTCTGGTGACATTGTAAATAAGAAGTGGGCAGCATTATCTCCTATAAATTTAAACAAATTTGTTTGTCTTAGTGATTGGCTGAACAAGAAGTAGAACTGAGTGGACTTGTAGTCTCTAAAGTTTTGCACTGTTTTGTTTTTTGAGTGCAGTTATGTAACAAAAAAAAATCTACATTTCTAAGTTGCACTTTCACAATAAAGAGATTGCACTATAGTACTTGTATGAGGGGAATTGAAAAATGGTATTTCTTTTGTTCATCATTTTACAGTGCAAATATTTGTAATATACTTGAAAATGTAGAAAAATATCCAAAATACTGTATTTAATAAATTTCAATTGGTATTCTATTGTTTAACAGTAAAGAAGGGCCTGTTTCATTTGATCTACTTTGTTTATATTTTATTCTTCGGTATCTTCTAGTTGCATTTTCTTTGCTTCACATATCTTGCTTCTGCCTTATAATAAGCCTTGTGAAAGTTACATTGGTTTTTAATTATTATTTGTGTTAGCATATCTCAGAGAAGATTTTCAGTACTCGGGAAAGGCAGTTTTTCTTTTTTTCCAGTAAATGCCTTATACCTGTCTGATTCATTATACCTTTCTTTAATACATTTCTCTAGCAAATGGAAAAAGGAAAATTGTGTCCCTTATGTGATAAGAGATTTATTACACACTCTGTATTCAAATGTTCCTTGGTATTTACCTTCTGAGTAGCTATTGCATGGTGTGACCTTTATTCCATGTCAAAGTGAAATGTTCACTTTTGTTTGTGGATTTAAAACTACATTAGATGTTGTCTCTCAAATTGTAACCATCTTATGATTTTGAATTTATAAAATAGGTTACATTCCATCTATTGGTACTAAGCATAGGATTCTTCCTACATGGCACAGCAAAATAAAAGTGATTTTAGACATCCTTCTCCTCTTTCTTCTGTTGCTGTTGTAACAATTATTCACCTTACAGATGAGATTTGTTCTGAAATACTTCCTCTCTTGAGTCAGACAATGCTTTTATCATACACCGCAAGTGAAAAAGTACATAAACTAGCAAACAAATATTTTGAAAACCATGTGACTTGCACCAATTCCAAGATTATAAACAGCAGTGTAAAAAGTGTTCCATTTGCAGTGTGCACAGAAGAAATTTTAAGTTTGATGCAGCTCCCCTACTCCCTTCAATTATAATGATTTTTTTCTGATAGAAATCATCCTAGGGGAGTATGTATGCAAGAAACAAAACAAATCAAAAACTGACTAGTTTTGTACTCTAATCAGGGCTATTAAAACTAGTTGTAAAGCCAACAGTGATTTGGATAAGTTGAACTGCAGAAAAAAAGGAACTTACATTATATTCTTACACTTAAGAAAATAAAGATTTCAGTTTTAAGTTGTACATACGTTGCTGAATTTAGCTAGTACTGTCACAAAAGAGAATGTTCCTCAAAATATGTTGTGAAATAATAGGAGCTGACATAATATAATGAGTTTATTTAACCAAGAAGTCAATTCATATATCGTAAAAAAAGAAGAGATTTGGATGGAAAGGGGGAGCTGGAAAAATGACCGGGATAGTAACTGGCTGCCTGTCACTGATCAGATGAATGTGACACTAAATTTGACAGGATTATATACAGTAAATTACATTCACATCCATGAATGGCTCATTGAGCAATTTTGGCATTTTTATTTTTCAGGACACACACAACCATATAGCTGCTGTTCCAAATATAGAAAATATAATGTAAACAAGTAGTTAAATATTCTTGCAGACTATTTAATAACTTCTGTACATGTAGGGTTATCAAGGAGTTCAAAGAACATTCAGCATTGCCACTCAATTATATGGCTAGCCTGTAGAATTCTCTTTTAACAGTTTTATATGGATTATTACAGGTGGAACTTCTTTCGCAAATACCTAGACTGTTATTGTTCATGCACAATCTTCCCTTTATTTGAGAGGTGGAGGAGCAAGCATGCAACATTGGAAGACCAGATGCAAGACCCTGTGTATTCCATGGTAACACAACTTTTGGAGCAAGTACCCTGCATTCTCTGCAGACGGGAGATTATGAAGCAGCTACAGTTAATTAATACAATTTTGAGGGATTTTCTTGTATTAGCTATGAAACGAAACTATGTATTTAGTCCAGTGTCCCATCTCATTTAATCAGATGTTCCATTATTTATATTGCATTGTCTCAAATGCTCTTTAATTTTCAAGCTGCATAATTTTATATTGAAAATTCACAACTGGATCAGAAGTTTTTGAGGGGAAACTGGAGGAATTGGCAATTGGATACTAGAGTGAATATTTGGGGCTGTTTCCATCTGCATAGATGTAGGAGGCATTTAGGGTCTGAGATGTGCATTAGCCAGATTTGAAAGTGATATGCCCTTCATTTAATTCTTGAGATTTCAAGTTAACAACCCATTAAGATGAACATGGCCATTTGCACCTCAGCTATCATTCAGATATGTCTGGATAGTCAGGCAGGCAGCATCTTACCAGTTGGTATTGCATCTAGAAGATTTTCTTCACAATCATGAGGGAATAACACTATTCTTGTCTCTAGGGGTGGGTTCTGACACCCATTACTCTTTTAAAACTTCCTCCATTTTGAACAGAGTGTGTGTGTGTGTGTGTGTGTGTGTGTGTGTGTGTGTGTGTGTGTGTGAGAGAGAGAGAGAGAGAGAG